CCTTCTCCTTGGAGACTGTGGCCACTTTCAAATCTGAAACAAGGTCTTCAAGACCAGACAATAGACATTCTCCTCCAGGTACAGACCAAGAAGGTGGGCTCACTGCAGGGACCCCCGGAGCAGGAAAAGAGTGGCTCACTGCTTGGAAAAGCTCCATATGACCAACATTTTACCAGAGTCTAGCCAAGACAATCTCTTGTCCCCAGGGCAAGAATTTGGCAGCAGATCCGTTTGCTCTGCAAACATCTGGTGCAGGCTCTGAGCTGAGGTTGGGGTGCTGAGCTCTTTTCTGCTGGGGAGGCCCTCTTGCTCACTACCCTGCTCACTTTCTCAGGGCTGAGGCCTCAGTCCCTGCCCCACTCACCTGCCCGTTGACAGCCAGATGGAGAGCTGTTGATTCCCCTAGGGAACTGAGCCTATTTGTGGAGGACCTGTCTTTTCTTTTTGGCAAGCAGGGGAAAGGAGGAATGAACTCTGACGTCATGGACTGCGTAGGACAGTGGGGTTGGAGGCCATCTGGAGCAGGTGCTGGCAGGGCCCCTGGGAAAGGGAAGGAGGGCAGCTGGCTCATCAGATGGGGGTGTCTTGGGGTCAAAGACTCATGGTACAACGAGGTTAAGCTTTCCTGGAATCTCTGGCCCGTGAAAGATGAATGACGCTTCCTTGGCCTCTGGCTCCTCTGGTACTCCAGTCCAGCCCCATGGGTGCAGGACTCCTGGAGGAAGGTACCAAGCTCAAGGAGACCTGGCCATGGCCCAGCCTCTGTGTCCTCTGAGGGGCTGCACCACTAAACAGTCCTGGGGAATTTCGGAGACTGCAGGGGTCCTCCCACCCAGAAGTACAAGTATACATGCAGTGACATTCAGATCTCTCTTCCGCCTCAGCTGCTTCCTGCTGTGTTTGGCCAGGGAGAGGTTGGAAGCCTCTTATCAGGCCCCAGATTCACTCTGCCCTGTCTAGAAGGCAAAGACGGTGTTTTTCTAATTACAGGTGATGAAACTAAGGGCCCCATGCAGAGACAGGACTTGGCCAGGGTCCCGCAGCAATTTCCCTGCCTGGCCTCAAGACCCGCTCACTGCCTGTTTAGTGTCTTCTCTGAGAAATTATGCAGCTGGAAGGAGGCCCTGGGATAAATAATTGCAGAGAAACAGATGGGCGGCTCTGCAATCCTCCTCTCCAGTGTGACTGAGCGCCCTCCCCTGCAGCCCTGGGGCCAGGAGGGGGCGCTGCTTCACAGGGCTCCTGTTCCTCCCTCCTGGGGACCTAGGCTGGACAGTCCTGTCTTAGCTGCTCCTTCCCCAGCCTCCCAGCAGCCCTTCCACACACCTTTCTCCCACCAGGCATCCTGACCAGGGCCCACTCTCATTTTCCATCACGTCCTGATTCCGGGCCAGACATCACCTGTCCCAAGGAAGGGCCCCTCTCCAGTAGGTGTGAGAGTTGCACCTTGTCCTTCTGGGAGGAGAGAAAGAGTGAAGAGGGACCCACAGAATGAGGTCCCGCCCTTCAGAGGACCAGAAGGGAGAAAACGGTCCCATCCATGCATCTCTCCGATGCTGAAGGCCTTGCATACCCCCAGCCTACTGTGGCAGAGCCGACACCCTGGACTCACCCATGCAACCCTCTGACACTGAAGGTTCTGCATGTTTCAGGCTGGCTCTGTCTCCCACTTCCTGCGCCCTCCCACTCCCCCCACACCTAGCTGACCCCCTTTCCCTTGCCTCATCTTCAGGCACCCCCAATAAGCTCACTTGCCCTTCCCACCCCCAAGAGCTCAGCAGGTTCCCCTCTCTCCATCACACCCCCTGCCTCCAGAACACCACCGACCTCAGAATTGCCTCTCCCCAGCCTGCCTCTGGGCACCCCTGCCTGAAGCGCTCCACCCTCCCGAGGTCTGGGCACGTGGGGTTCTGCAGTCTCCCCGGCCTCCCCTGCCCTTTGCGTTGCCTTTAGTGAGGTGTCTCATTTTGTTTTTCTCAAACAGAACCCCTCTAGGCCTGACTCTAGTACATTCCACTGTTAGCCTGGTTTTCTATCGAGGTTTTCCTCTTCTCTTCCCTTCTCTTCCTGTGTTTCCGGGCTCAGCACAGACTTTTCCTTCTCCAGGACGCCCACCCTGCTAGTCCAGGCTGGAGGAGGAGCCCTCCTTGGGTGGCCTCAGCCTGAGCTGTCCCCTTCCCTGTCACTGTCCTTTTCAGCCTACAAAGCTCATGTCTCTCTCCTGGGGGGTTCTTCCTGGCTGGGATGGAACCCTGCAGGCTTCAGGGATGCTCAGGAGATACCGGGAGATCAGCGAGATCAGTGAAAATGACAGGATTCCTTACAGAATTACCAGGGCCTTGGGACCTTATCTCCCTCTTTTGCCATTAGGAGGAAATTTAAAATTGAGCAGTCAATAAAATGATTTGAATAGCTCATATTCAGCTGCTCAGTGAGCTCGACTTTCCCAGGCCATGCCCCTGGGGCCTGGGGGCAGAAGCAGCAGACTTCATGAGGGAAAAGCAGCAAGAAGGGGCCTGAGTTCCAACTCTAGGCTCAGGAGGAAGAGAGGGCCTCCTCTGCAGTTCCCCAGGCAAGGAAAGCGAAGGGAGAGGGGAAATCTTCATCTCCAAGACAGTTATGTGCTGATGACGCACCTCCCGGCAGTCCCTCCAGCCCGGGCCTCTGACTCTTACCCACCCCACCTCCCAGGCCCCAGCTAAGTAGAAGCTGATCCACAGCCTGCACTGGGGAAGCCTCCCTCTGCAGATGACCACCGCCCAGTGGTCAGGAGTGGCAGCTCACCAGATTTCCCTTCCAAAGAGGGGAAGGTGAGTCCAGGGAATCGGCTCTGCCACAGTAGGTTGGGGGTGTCAGTTTTACTAATTTAGCCTCAAAGCTCAAACAGAGAGGAGACCTAGATAGTCACTGCGCAATCATCTGGATGAGAATGTATCCAGGTACATAGAAGACAGGAAGGACCAGCCTAAGGACGTTCAGGCAGAAGGAAGCAGCCATGAACAGCAGAAGCTTCCAACATGCCCTTAATAAGGCCTTAGAGGATGTACTGCTGGCCCCTGGAAACCAGCCCAGTGCTTGACTCTGGAGTCCATCTGTGTGGCTCTGCCTGGCTCTTTAAACAGGTATAAAGAAAGTAAGTGTCAGAGAAGTTCCAAATAGTAACATCCTTCTTTCCACAGCAGGCAAAAAGCAGAGGGAACTTTCACAGCCCACCTGATACCCCTCCCTATTCCGCCTTCTCGTTCCTCTCTTCCTTTCTCCTCAAATGAAAGAGTGGTGCCACTCTGGGGGTGTTAGCCCAGAGAGGAATTGGGGGGCTGCGTGGAGGTGGTGAGTCAACTCACCAGAACCCACAAAAGGTGCCCTGTTGATGTCTGGATCTTTCTGGACATCAGGAAACTTTGCTGCCCCAAACTCAGACCTCAGGTGTTAGCTGTTTCCTAAGCAAAAGGACCTGTGGAGTGGTTGCTCCAATGTTGTGCCTCAGGGTATGAGAGTGGGAAGGGGTAGCCTGAGCAAAGGGCCTACAGAGCAGACCACGATGCAGCTGCCTTAGCAGCTCTGGGACCAGGCTCACTACCACGGAGGAAAGAGGGAGGTTTGGAGGAACCTGGTGCTCAAAACCCCTCTTCACTCCAGCCGCCTTCCTGCCTCAGGCACAGCTTCCTCTCCCTGGAAAAGCTCGTCTGGGCTACTGTCTCCGCAGAATCCTCTTCACGCCTGGGGACAGCCACTGCACTCCTGCGGCAACATTTGTTCTCTCTCCAGCCTGCGTCCTGCTCGGCAGCAGCCAGTCATAGATTCGTGCACCTCACTCAATTTGGGGGATCTGGGCTCTCCGCCTCTGCGGCCCACACCGCAGTGCCCAAGTGCCCACCACACTCCTTAGTGCCCAAGGGACCAAGAAGCCCAGTGCAAGGAGAGCAAGTTTGTGAGTGGTAGGGATATGTGGCCGTGTCCCAAGAGCCACGAGGACCTTTCTACAGTCAACAGTGGGAAGTTGACCACCTGTCACGGCTGGCAGAGGCTGGACCGGGCCGCTGGTTAGGAAGCTCCCTCCCCAGCCTGTGAAAGTGCACAGGATACTGGAGCGGGCTTCTCCCAGCAGCGGATCCTCGCGTGGGTGCAGGCAAGGTCAGGTGCGCATTGTTCCCACAGACCGAGTTCACCAGCGGAGTCAGACCCGGGGACGTTCTGTGTAGCCGAAACCGGCTGAACGTGAACCTAGAGCCATAACTGTCGAGCACACGATGCCGCCGAGCACACGCATGAACATGAATATCTTGGTTCCGCGCTCGCAGTCCCCTCGTTCCCGCCTCCCGCTCAAACACTCAGGTTGGCGACATGCTTGCACTCTCCAGTGCGGAAGACTTGCGCTCCCCGCCGCGGCCCAGGCGAACCCCGCTCTCCCTGTGCCTCCCACCCCAGTCCTCCAACCCCATCCTCTACCTCCCCAACCTAACGACATCTCTGTGGTCTGCGCTCCCGCCCTGGCGAGCAGGTGAGAGGCGGAGCTGCAATGCCCATCCCGCGGCTGTCAGGTGCCAGGGAAGAGTTTGGCGACCAGCAGAGCTGCGTGGATTTCGGGCAGCGCCAACTTTCTGCCTGTATGACTTTGGGCAAGTAATTTCATTCCTCTGAGCCTGTCTTTGCACCTGCAAAGAGAGCTATAGATCCCTTCTAGGTAGAGTGAGTGTGCTGAGGACCCAGTGGGTGCACAGGGCACCAGGCGCACGGATGCTCATCAGGCGACGGCGCGCGCTCGCTGCAAATGGAGTTCCCCTGTGCGCGGCGCTCTGCAGCTCCAAGTGCAGCCTGGAGCGAGCCGGCAGAACCGCGGGATCCCTCCGGGGTGGGATAAGGGAGGGGAGCCCCCGCGGCCCCCTCCCGGCCCTCGGCGCGGCCGCGTGCGTGGTGTCATTGGCCCGGGCAGCCCGGTGGGCGGGAGGATGACATCAGCGGCAGGTTGGATTATAAAGGCGCGAGGGGAGTCACGGGCTCAGAGCGCACCCAGCCGGCGCCGCGCAGCACTGGGAGCCTGCTCGCCCTGCAGCCCAGCCAGCTTGCTCCGCACCAGCCTGCTGGTCTGCCCGCCGACCCGCGCGCCCTCGCTGCCGCCCGTCTGCGCCCCTAGACCCCAGCGGCACCATGCATCTCTCCCAGCTGCTGGCCTGCGCCCTGCTGCTCACACTGCTCTCACTCCGGCCCTCCGAAGCCAAGCCCGGAGCGCCGCCGAAGGTGGGTGCTGTCGTGGGGACGCCGAGCCTGAGAGAGTCGTGGGAGGCTGGGGGCTTGGAGAATGCGGCGCGCAGGACCCAGGAGAGAGGGAAGGCAGGCGGCTCTCTCCTCCGAGATGCGCGTGGGCGAGACCCGGGGAGCCCTCGAAGCGCGGACTCGGGGGTCAACTCCCCCAGCCTCCGGAGAACGCCGGCCCATGCGCAGCCCCCTGCCCCAGCGTGGCCTGCCGGGCGAGCAGCAAAGGAGGGGAGGGCAGGGGGCTTCCGGAGGGAGCGGAGAAGGCGGCCGCGTGGCAGGTGGATGCGGGGCCAAGCTGGCCGGCATCGGTGGGGGCGGCTCTGGGCTTAGGAGGGACACCCCGCGCCGGCGGGCGCGTGGGGCTGGAGCATCAAAGTCCCCTGTGCTGCAGCCGCGCGTCCCTTCACCTGCCCGCTCTTTCTTCGGACAGGTCCCGCGAACCCCGCCGGGAGAGGAGCTGGCCGAGCCGCAGGCTGCGGGCGGCGGTCAGAAGAAGGGCGACAAGGCTCCCGGGGGCGGGGGCGCCAACCTCAAGGGCGACCGATCGCGACTGCTCCGGGACCTGCGCGTGGACACCAAGTCGCGGGCAGCGTGGGCCCGCCTTCTGCACGAGCACCCCAACGCGCGCAAATACAAAGGAGCCAACAAGAAGGGCTTGTCCAAGGGCTGCTTCGGCCTCAAGCTGGACCGAATCGGCTCCATGAGCGGCCTGGGATGTTAGTGCGGCGCCCCCTGGCGGCGGTGAGTACCGCCGACCCCGCGCCCAGCCCCAGCCCGGCCCGGCTTTGCTCAAGTTGTGCCAGGCGTTTGCCGGCCACCCCCTTTATTATCCCCCTTTACAGACAAAGAAAGCGAAGGATAAAGTGATCGGGGAACTTTGGCATGGTCAGAAATGGCTCAGCCTGGTTGAACCCACCAGGCTTCTTCTAGAGAAGCAGAAACAGGCTTGGTGGCGTCTCACCCACCCCTGCACCTTAGCTGAACTAGCAGCATTGGCCCCAGCTGGCCAGCTGGTGGGGGAATTGAGGGGAGATCATGGGTTTGTGGGAGCAGAGAAGGAAGGTTACACCCACAAGTCCAAGGGACATTGATCATCTGCCGGCCACCATGCCCCCTGTAGCGAGAGTAGCCCTCTGTTGGCACCGTCAGGGCGCCCTTCTGCCTGGAGCACTCCGATTCCTGTCCCTTCTCTAAACCCAGGCAGTGGGCAAACTGGTCTATCCAGGGTCCTGTCCCTTCTCTAAACCCAGGCAGTGGGCAAACTGGTCTGTCCGGGGAGCTGCAGCCCGGTGGCTTCAGGGGTGAATCTCAGTGCTTGTGGCACTATTTCAGGGAATAGGAAAGATACTAAAGTAAATATTTTTTGCCCCACCCTCAAACTCGACATGTCCCAGAGTCCCTCACCAACCCTGTCCCCCGCCCAACCGGTGCTCTGGGCTCCGTTTCTGGTGTGGGATCTCACCCCGCACTAGGGCTGGAAACCTCTGCCCTACCGTCACCCCCTGCCGGGTGCCGCATGGTGGTAATTTACTGCTGCAGAGAGCCTCACCTCTCCTCTTTCCCTCCTCTCTATTCCTGCCGCCTGCCTGTGCCCGCTGAATAACAGCATCCCAGCCTCTGACATTGACAGTCATGTGCATTAGGATCAGGCTCACTCGGCTTTCTCCCTTTCTTGCCTCCAGCTGAGCAGCTGCCACTGCCTGTCCCACACTTTGACTGTCCCATCCCAGGCCATGGGAAAGCTGCTGTCTCCACCCCAGAAACCCTTGTCAGTGTTGGGTCTTCCCCCGGAGGGAAACAAGAGCGCCTCTCCAGCACACTGTCTCTTTTTCACAGTACAGAACACTTTTTCACAGTTTGTGAACCCATTCACCTCCCCGTATTGAACAGCTTAAGGGCCAAGTGCTGGCCTAAGGCACTCTAGGACCCACTGCACCCCGTACAGACTCAGAAATATTTGTCAGTGACCAGAGAAACCAGCACACCCTAGCCCATGGCCACTCCCACCTGCCCTAGGTTTTAACCAGTGCCCTTCCTCTCTTTGCAGCCAGACCTCCCTCGGCTGTGGGCTGCTCCCCAGTTCTGCAAAGGCTGCAGTTGTCTGTGATCTTGACTCTCCCCTGCACAGGGAGAAAAATGATTCTGACACTTGGGGACCAGCCTTCAGTAGCTACCCTTGGAATGCCTTTCCTCTCTTCTCTCCTGTCTAAACAACAAAGAGACGGAGTCTGAGGCCTCAAATTTTCAGTTTGATTTAAGCATCAAGTTCAAACTTTAGAACCGGAACAAATGTTAGCGACTCTTCCATGGGTTCGTACCTGGAATGCGCATTCCCATAGGGGCCTTGTTCTTGGGCCTGGCTGTCTGTGGTCACCAAGTGATGACCAGACGGGTAGTGAAAGATGCTGTGTAGGAGGAATCCACATTGCTAAGAATTCTCAACCCCTTTGATCAGGGGGGTTCATTAATCTCCTACTAGCTCTCTTAGCATAGATGAACACTTATCATCAACATCCTCAACACCGGCTTATGCCCAACACCAGCTGTTTTATTATTATTTGGGAAGGGGGGTGTGGATTTATTATTTGGGTTTTTTAAATGAAAAATAAAAACCCTACCCTCACTGCCCCCCACTCCCAGTGAGAGAGCAGGCTCCTGGTGGTGATGCCCAGGATATATCACTGGGGTTAAAGGGAAAGACAGCTTGTATTTGTCACATTAATGAAAACTCTTTGAGGTTGTGGCCGTTTCTCCACGCAGGGGGTGACTCGGGCTCTAAGCCACCATAATGATGGTCGCTGATGGTTCTAGGTGTTGATTGTAAAATGCTAATGACAGAGACCAGCTGTGGGTGAAACCTGAATGAATACTTTGCCCCTGGGGCCCAGCAACATCACAGACAGCTGTCATCTGTGTAAACTCATGGCAGAGCCAGAGAAGGGAGTGGGGGAGGGTTCATCAAGCCATTCTGGCCCAGGTCTCCTCTGTGCATGCTGTCCTTTGGGAGAGCACTGAATGCCCCAGAAGGCCACCTTCCTTGGGCCCCGGGGCACCCACACACCCATTAGCAGGGAGTTTTCCCTGACAATGCTCAACCCAGAGCCCATGACTATGCATTTCCCCAAGGCTGGTGTGAGACACCATTTCCTCTGCTTCTGAAGGGGACCTGGACCCACACCCTTTCCTCTGCACAAGCAGCTAAGGAAGGAGGTGCTGTTTACTGGGTGGTGGCTGAGACCCAGACACTGCCGATGCCCAATCCGAGGCTCCCTGTTGAATCCAAAAGCCAGCCCTGGGAGGTGGCTATTATCCGATTTTATGGGTGAACACTCCCAGCTATCCAGGGTCATCCAGGGAGTCAATGTCAGAGTAGAGATTTGAGCCCAGGATTCCTGATCCTGAGATGTCTCCCTTCTCCTTCCATCCACAGTCACTCAGACACACGAACCCAGGGCGAGCACTGACTGAGGGTTTGTGTTGTAGCAAAAAGGATGGGGGATTTTCCATCCTCTTTCTCTCACTGCGCCTCCCTGAGTGCCAAGGGCAAGGCCTGTGGTTAGACTGGGGGGAAAAGGAGGGCTGCAGACACTCTGGTTCCACCTGTGCTGGGGCAGCAAAGCAGAAGGGCCTGGGGAGTGTGTAGGGAGAGGCCCCTCCCCTCTGCAGGAAGGCCTGGTGGGTTGGGGGTTGCGGAGGTCGGGGGACATCCCTCAAGCTGCTAGGGGAAGGGCAGGAAAGGTTCTAGAACCACCCTGCCTGCTAGGATTTCTCAGCTAAGGGGCCAGAACTGAGTGTCTGTGTTCACTCTGTGTTTCAGGATTGGGAACTGGCTCCGTTGTGCTGAGGTCACCTTTGGTCAACAGCTCCAACATCTGGAAACACCTCCAATGCAATGTGGCTTTTACATTTCTTTCTTTCTCTTTCTTTCTTTCTTTCTTTCTTTCTTTCTTTCTTTCTTTCTTTCTTTCTTTCTTTCTTTCTTTCCTGGTACTGGGAATACACAACACCAGCTGTTTTATTATTATTTGGGGAGGGGGTTGTGATTTTATTATTTGTTTTTTTTAATGAAAAATAAAAAGTTATATATTATATATATATTATATACATGAAACACACACACCTACACCGACTTGATGACAAGGGACAGTTTTTAAGAGACTGACAGAACCAGCTGTAAAACATTGCTGTTTGTAAATTCATGTCATGCATAAATGTATTTATGTTGTAAAGCTATTTATATTGTTTATAAAGAGATATTTATAAAAATTTTATTTATGTAACTAAATGAAAGAAGTCAATCGTTGTAATGTTTTTGTCCTAACTAGTTGAAAAAATGTAAAAAAAAAAAAAAAGTCATTCCATGAATATCTTGAAAACTGTCTTTATTTACTTGTTGCCTTTATTTTTTAGGACTTAGGCTGAGGCAGAGGGAGAATGTGAAGAAAAGGCGTTTGCCTCCAGATAGATGTGACAGCCAGATACCCAATTCTGGATTTCTCTGTGTCAGAATCCCCTGGAGGCCTTGCTAAAAATACAGATTCCTGCTCCCTCCACCCTCTGATCTACCGAATCTGACAGGACTAGCTGTGTAAGTTTTGTCCAAGTGATTCTGACCAGTTCAGCCAGGTCAGGAAGCTCTGCTCAAACACCTGACTGCTAGGAAGTCAGATGTTATGAATTAAATTAATAACGGCCGGGTGCGGGGGCTCACACCTATAATCCCAGCACTTTGGGAGGCTGAGGTGGGTGGATCATCTGAGGTCAGGAGTTCAAGACCAGCTTGGCCAATATGGTGAAACCCCATCTCTACTAAAAATACAAAAATTGCCGGGTGTGGTGGCAGGTGCCTATAACCCCAGCTACTCGGGAGGCTGAGGCAGGAGGATCGCTTGAACCTGGGAGGCGGAGGTGGCAGTGAGCCAAGATCACAGACTGTACCCCAATCCTGGGCAACAGAGCAAGACTCTGTCTCAAAAAAAAATTAATTTTGAATTCAGCTGACTTAGGGTCCTATAAATTCTACTCCATCTTCTGCTATTAGTGGAAGAAATAGCTGCTAACTCCCTCTCTGTTTAGGGGAGATTTAGAAGGTTTCTGCATATCTTGCAGAATTGGCCAGATCACCTTACGAATCTCAGCAACTCTGTTTTCTAGACTTGCTCACAAAGTCTGGAATGGATGGTAGTTTCTGCCTGCTAGAAGGACAGGTAGTTTCTGCCTCATAATGAATGCCATGGTCAGCTGGGAGCCAAGACCTCGGAGAGAAGGAAAGAGCGTTATCAAATTTCACATCTGTGGTGTGCTGTGCTTTGTGGGAGGGTTGTGGGTTTTCTTTTCACCTGAAGCCACTAACAATTACATTTCTTATGCCCCATGGAGCGATAAGTGTGGAATTATGAATATAACTTAGAATTTATGAACATAATTTAGATTAGAATCTCTTCTCCTAAAACCAGCAGGAAACTGTGAAATAATTCCGAGGTACTCTCACCACACGCTTGGTTGGATGACAGCCCCGTGCAGCTTTCCCTGTCATCTGCCCCTGTTAGGGGAAGGTGGGGACATACCCTCTTGGGCCAGTAACATCAGTGGACTGGGGGCACCCTGCTCAGGGGAATTGGGAGCAGGGATGCCCTGTGCACATGGGTCCGCAGACACCAGAGGAAAACCCACTGGGGAGGTAGCCAGTGGCACCTGGTCTTTCTGTGGGTGTTTGAGCCCTGGGACCTTTGTTCCAGGTAGGCCTCCAGCAGCAACCTCTCGAGTGTGTGAGTAGCCAACACAGTGACATTGCCCAGGTGAGAAATCCCCTTTTAGACATGTTCCTGGCTGGGCACGGTGGCCACACCTGTAATCCCAACAGTTTGGGAAGCCGAGGTGGGCAGATCACTTGAGCCCAGGAGTTCGAGACCAGCCAAGGCAACTTATCAAGACCCCCATCTTTACAAAAAATAAAAAATTAGCTGGGCATGATAGTGCCCACTTGTAGTCCAAGCTACTCAGGGGGAGGCTGAGGTAGGAGGATTGCTTGTGCCCCAGAGGCCAAGGCTGCAGTGAACTGTGATCACCCCTCTACACTCCAACCTAGGCAACAGAGTAAGACTGTCACATACACACACACACACACACACACACACACACACACACACACACGAAAGACAAGACATGTTCCAGCTTCTACAACTTCCCTCACAAGTTCTCTCAACTTCCACAGGAGCCCCAGAGGACATTTCCAGTCCTCCTTCCTTGGGGACACCTGTGGAAGCCACCCAGGGCATGGCTACCTTCCTCTGTCCCACTCCCATCTCCGTGGCTGGAAGATCAGGGGCCCGCATCACTGACCCGAGCCTCACCAGTGAGGCCCCAGCTCTCTGTGCTGTCTGCAGACCCCTTACACAGCAGGGAGGGAGCAGGGGGTGTCAGGAGGTGACACTGCCAGCTTTGCTGGTGGTGAGGCAGGCACGTCTTCCCAAGGCCCAGAGGCAGAAGGGATGGCGAATTCTGGGATCTAGGGATCCCCCACTAGAAGCTAAAGGGTTTTCCCTGTGGACAGTGCCTGGGCTGCCAGTAATCTGGGTCAATACGGCCTCTAGGGCCCAAGCTACACACACTGTCCTCCTAAGTGCTCTTGTCCTGCGTATTTGCCTGCAAACAAAAAGTACAGCCCTCCGCTGTCAAGGCCAGCCCCTCTGCCTGTTGCTTTAGGATACAGCCATACAGCCAGTCCTCCTCTTTTACATCCAGACCTGAAGTCCTGCAACTGCTTCCTCAGCAGCGACTGGAATATGTTGTCCCAGCCAGAGATTTTTGTGGGAAAGCCCGGAAGGATTGACGAATATTCAGTAACTAACAGGAAGTGTTTTGACACCTGCAGGGATGGCCCAGGTGCTGTTACCTGAGAGCTGCCAGACTTGGGCCTCTGTCCTGGCCTCCTTCCTCTTGGGAGCCTCTAATCTCCAAGCTGCCTGGAGCATCTGTGGCTTCTCTCCCACCTGAGGTGACAACAGCCAGGGCCAGCTTGGAGAAACAGCGCCCAGGCGGGGCTCCCTGGAGTCCCAGTCCTCTCAAAACGGGCACCTCTGCAGTACAGGAAGACTCACCTTGATTGCCTCTTGGCCTCTAGCAAAGATCAATTGTAGGCGAGTCCCTGGGAAACGCCATGAGCCTGGGCAGGCCAGAGCGCAACAGAGGCAAAGAGTTTCGGGGGCTGGAGGACCTTGTTCCCTTTCCAGCAGCGCAGCCATTGGGGGAGTCAGGGAGCCCACGGGGAGGAGTCGCCCCGCCTGCTTGGTCCCTGGTGCCGCAGCTGTTGACATGTGGAAACCCTGGCCCAACAGCCCTAGGCCCAGGAAGCCCACCTTGGGCCCCCACACACGCCTGGAGGAAAGGCCCAGTCTATGAAGCCCATCTGAGGACATCACGTGGAGAGGCAGCACCCGTGACGCAGAGGTGGTGCACCTGCCATGGAGGCGGTGTGGGCCCTGGCCAGGTGGGGCAGTACCACTAGGCCTACAGCAAGTGGTCTGGAAGCCTGTCTTCCCCACCAAACAAGCAAGAGGGTCTCCCCTGACAGTCACCACCCCGCAAGGGTGGTGGGTGATAGGGTTCTGCACGAGTGGGACGCCCTGGGGGTGATCAGAGAGGCCTCAATATCCAGACCCTCTTAGTGCCTTAGGAAGAGCCCTTAGCCCAGTCAGGAGGAGGGGGAGTGGGGAATGCTGAGCGGCCCCAACCCTCAGTTGTGGAGGGTAAGTGGGGAGGAATTATCAGTCGGGGAGCCCATCAGAAATGGAATTTGAGGCCCGGCACAGTGGCTCATGCCTGTAATCCCAGCACTTTGGGAGGCCGAGGTGGGCGGATCACTTGAGGCCAGGAGTTCAAGACTAGCCTGGGCAGCAGGGCAAAAGCCCGTCTCTATAAAAAATACAAAAATTAGTTGGACATGGTGGTCCCCATCTGTAGTCTCAGCTACTTGGGAGGCTGAGGTGGGAAGATCACCTGAGCCCAGATTGCACCACTGCACTCCAGCCTGAGTGACAGTGAAACCTTGTCTCAAAAAAAAAAAAAAAAAAAAACCGAGATTTGACTCCAATGGTTCACATGAAGAGCTTTAAGGAAGTGACAATTTCCAGAGTAGGGGGCAGCTGAGAGGGAGGTGCCTAATGGGAAGCCAGTTTCTTCCCTGGGGCCGAAGGGAGGGAGCCATCCTCAGCGCTGAGCTGGGTGCGGGGTCGTCCGGCAGGAGCTGTGCCACGGGGCAGGAGCTCCTGCAGGGATGTGGAATGAGAAAGACTTCAGCTTCTTTCTCCCCTCCCCTCCAGCCTCCTGCTGGTGTGTCCAATTGGCTAGAAACCAAGCAGCAAGCAGGAGGGGCCAGGGCAGGGCTGTGAACCACCAGCAAAGGAGGGCCTTGGTTGAGGTGTCAGCCAGCACTCCCTCTCACAGGGATGAGGCCAGACAGCAGGGCAGGGGCGGATACCACCTCTCTAGAGGCAATTTCTTATCTTGGTTGCAGAAGACAGGAGTGACCGCATCAGAAGCGTGGGCACAGCGTAACTATTAGGTCTGATCCTGGGAGTGACCTCACATATATAGCTGTAATGGGCTTGCCTGGTGGGTCCTCCCTCCCTGTCCCAGAGAGTGCCAGTTGACAGTGTCCCCTCCCTGATGGCAGAGTGTCTGATGTTCTCTACACGATCCTGGCCCAGGCCCTGGACAGATGCCATTTGTTGTCCAGTGAAGGGACAGTAGCAGAAATGTTTCCTGGCAAGCTCCAGTCAGTTCCTCTCCGGGACAGACCAGCCATAGAGCAGCCCGCCTCATCCCCACCATCCCCACGGTCTACTCTGTCCTGTTCGAAAATTTCAGTTTGTTTTTCACACCTCT